GCAGAGTCTGCCAATGATTCGGCAGAGTCTGCCAATATCTCGGCGGAGTCTGCCAATACCTCAGCGGAGTCTACCAATGTTTCGGCAGAGTCTGCGTATTTTTAGATATTGGCAGAGTCTGCTAATACATCGGTAGAGTCTGCCAATGTTTCGGCAGAGTCTGCCAATACCTTGGCAGAGTCTGCGAAGGACAATTTTGGTATTATGAAAGAAAAAAAATCTAGAATAGGTTATTTCAGCAATAAAAAAATAGTAAGGTTATTCTAGATATTTTTTTTTAAAAAAAGGTGATTCTAGCTAATCTCCCTAAATTTTTCTATTTTTTTCCTTATAGTTGTTACTACTATCCATTTTTGTTATATAAAACCCTATACAACGTCTATAAACCTTTCATCAAATTTGGCATATGGCAGATGCTTTCGCAGCTCGATCTCAAAATTCTTATAAAAAGAAATTCAAACGGTAAAATAATTGGCAAAAACATTTTACCGTTTCTCTGGGTGCTTCAGGAATATTTAGTTCATTTTCTTGGAGATCTCCAGAAAATGGAGTACTCCTATTGAGATCGTTTCTTGATTTCACACTAAACTCAGTTGTTAGTGCCTATTTTGAGTTTATCCGAGAAGACTGAACAAGTCTTGTTTGAGTTAGGCAGTGGCAGCCATTACCTTAGACTTGTGACCATACTTGTGAATGTACTTACATGATATTATATTATGACCAAAGCCAAACCAGGATCTTCTCCGGATTTAATAGGACCTTCGGTTTAAGTATCTCCTGAATGATTACGCACTTCCGAATGGTTACGCGCCCAATACTGGAAGAAGAGAATCGAGACTCAGAGGTTTCAAGCCGCACAAGAAGAATCCGCCAAAGCCATGTCCACATCATTCTAATCATGATGTAAGAGAGTCAACATCAGAGACATCATTAACATCATCAACGCGAAAAGGAACAAGCGACATTTTGGAAACTTAATGTTGTTATGGCTTTGGTAGTCACATAGATTCGACTTGTACCTTACCATGTAATATTGTTTCCTTGTTTTTTATTTATTTTTGCCGAGGAAACAAAGAAGTTGGTTATCCTTTGTAACAACTAAACATTTCATATTAATGATATTAACATTCTTAGC